TTTTTTTTTTTTTTTTTTCGGGGCCGGGTGTGTCGACACCTGACCCCCGGGACCCCCGCCGGGGCCCCGGGCCCGGGGGTCGACAACCCTGGCCCACGAGTATGGGCGTGTCGCCTACATTCGAGCTGAGTTAGATGGGTTGTGTTGTTCTGATTTATCTTAATACCTATCATGTCGCGTTCGGGAGACTTGATGCGTCAATCTTGCTTTCTTTCTCGTTTGTGTTTGTATCGTTCTTGGGTCTGTCATGTGAGTGTATAGGCTTTCTGCCGCCACGTGATTCTTAAGGATGTTCGACATGTATGATGTTGTAACTATCTCACCATCATCTCAACGTTGTAACCGCCGTAGTAGTAGTACTACGTGTGTGTGACTCGTTTGTTGTCATAACGTCGTTTGGTCTCTCCCGTGGTCCTTTCTTGTTCGAATCGTTCTTTTGTTCTTTTGTTCCCTTTGTTCAGTATGGCCGGGGTACCTCTGAATAGGGATGGTTGCTTTCACTGTGGGGCCCTGAATCATTGGATTCGGGAATGTCCACATCGCTTGGCGGGCCCAAGGTTGCCCGCTACGGGAGCTAATGCTATCCCGACCGGTCCTCCGCTTTTAATTTTTCCTGCACCGAATATCGTGTCTTCGTCGACAGCTCCGTCGTCTACTTTTGCACCATCTTCATCGAGCCACCAGCAGGCTCAATCGAATGGAGGAGGCAACCGAGGGTACCAGAAAACAAACTGGTGGACGAGAAATCAGGAAAGGTTGGACGCAGTTTATAATAAGTTTGTTGAAGATTCGGCCAAGGAGGCCAAGAGGAAGGAGGACGAGGAAAAGGCGAGAATTAAAAAAGAGGAGGAGGAGAAACAATTGAAATGGAAGAAGGAGCAGCTTGAAGCAGAGATGGGCGAACGATTGGAAAAGAAGCTTGAGGCGATAGGCATATCCATGAAGGGCAAATCTTCTGACGTGTCTAGCGTTATTGGAGTGAAGAATGATGAGATTGATAGACTTCGAAAAGAAAACGAAGAACTGAAAAGGAGAATGAACGATTTGTTGGGACGATCGGGCGACGACAAGGTGGCCTACCTTCAGAAGGATATCACGGAGCTTCGCAAGATGATTGCGGATAAACAAGTGGATGAAGATTCGGTCTACGCTCTGAAGGAAGAGATTCGGGAGTTGAAGCAGTCAGCTTACGTGAAGACCAATTTCGAGTGTGAGATCGTTGGACTTAAGTGCGAGATTGATCAGCTACGCGCGCAAAACGAGCGGGATATTGGCAAAGCTAAACTTTGGAAGGATGAAGCGCTAAGGCCGGGTAATAAGCAAGGTAATGTGGCGATTAGCACTCCTGACTGTGCTGATCGGGGGTCACCGAAGCCACGATGGACAAGTAATGTGAGGGAGGCGGATAAGTGGAAGGAGGACTATCGCAACCTGAGGAATTTACACCGACTGACAAATATCGAAGCCGAAGCGCTGAAGGAAAAGCGCGTGGAACCTGAGATGAAGAGAATTGAGGCAGAAAAACAGGTCAAAAAGTTGGAGGAAGAGATGGCGAAATTAACTGCCAGTGGTGCCAAATCCGTTGAGGGAGGAGGGACTAACCTTAAGGACAAACTTGAGGAAGCCGCAGTTCGATCCGCTCGCAAAGGGTTGAAGGCGACGTCGGGCAGAGATGCTGCCAAATCGTTTGCAGAAGCATCATCGAAGGAGATCAATAACCGCGGACTTCTTTGAACAACAGAAGAAGCAGCTTCGCATGTTACGTAAGGCGGGGCTGGAGCCGCTGTGCAAGGAGCACAACGACAAGCTCAACAAATTTGAGGATCCGGTCTGTGAGTTGGCGGAGGCTATGACTAATAAGGCATTTCCGGACGATAAGAACAAAGGTCCCGTGTACGAGGTAAGTGATGCTGCTACGACAGATTTCTCCAAGGATGAGGATGAGGAACAGTCCGTGGAGTTATAGGGTGTTGTCCCGAATGCGGTTGACCTTTGGCGTCTGGCTAATGAGTGTAGATCTAAGCGTTGTGGATTCATTGCTTCGTCGATTTCATCTTACGCAGGTGTCTTGGCTCTTGGAGAGGATGCATCTGGTAGCTCCTCGGATCTTTCTTTCTTTCTTCGAGATCGATGCTATAATGCATTTTTTCGCTTGCTAGTGATTGCGTTAATTCTGAGGGATCAGATACCTTGGGCTCGTAAACTGAAGGAGTATGTAACTAATCTGTTGGTAGATGATGTCGATTTGGAGGAATGCAAGGGGCCGTTGGTCTATGTTTTGCTGTCTCCCCGGTCTCGTGACATGTATGTCGACTCTACGGTCCGATCTCTACCCACTAGATGGAACGAACATGTGTACAGGACCGTTAATCCTAGCGTGATTGAAGGTGGTAGACGAAACCACAAATTGTACTATTGGCTCAGGCGGGGTAATGTTGGTCAGTATGTCGCCATTCCGCTCTTCTTTTGTGAAGCCAATGACGTTCTGACTTTGGAAAAATATGTGATTGGCCGAATGAGTCCCCATCTGAATTGTCGCGATACGAAGAAAAAATGTCGGAGGTGGAGACTAGGGAAGAGAGAAAGACTTAAGATAAAGCGAAGAGAGGGGTGCCACAGAGAGGTTTCTTTGATACGGCCACGTCTGGTCTTCCACTCGACTGTTGGGCTGGTCTCGCCACTACTTTCAACCATTCTTGATCATTGATCGGATTTGAAGATTTCGACTGTGGGCACTGCTTATACCGGAGGGTTGTCGTTCGCAGAGAACTGAAAAATGATCAAGCGTCGATATGGCTCTTCCTTGATTAGGGAGGGGGATCATGTGGAAATACTAAAGAAAGGTAAGGGAATGTTTAGGCTTGGATGCTTCCTCACTATCTTGACAATCGTACCGTTTATGTCTCGTTCTCTCATTTTCAAGCCTGCCTTATCCGGGTTTTTGTCCAATCCTGTTTCTCGTAAAGAACTCAGTAACTGGGACTTCTCTGTCTTGGTGCAAACATTTTCTGTGATTCGGAGTTTTTCTTCAAAAAGGAGCCGCTATCAGCTACGAGTTATTCTGTCTGGCACGACTAGGAGAAGGTTTGGGATTAATGCTAGGAAACGTCTGACTGTGAGGATTACTTATGATACGGGTCTGAGCAAACCTGGGATTCGTTCCGTTTGTGCAAGGACAATTATGAATGCTGGGGTGGACATTTAATGGAGAAAGATGGTGGTAAGACGAATGCGAATCGTGTGGACGAAAAATAAAAGTGTCGGTGACTGGATTTTCAATTTCAGGTCTGTTGCGAAAGAAACCAGGAGCGATTGCGATTGCGCAATGCTCTCTCGTGATTTCCCTCGAGTCAATGGCTACGTATGCTTTCGCATTAATGACTGGACGATGGCTCCCGACTGGTTAAGGAACAATCGGAACATTGTCTGACCAGCCAAAACCGATGTCATTGGAAGGTTGAAGAAACAAATTAATGCTTCGATTGGCGAGCTTGATTTTGAAGCTCCCCATGTGGCTCGTAGGGATCTTATTGGTTGTTGGGAGGACAGAGAGGGTGTTGATACTTCTGCACTGAGGAGAATGTTAGAGCTTGGGCTGAGCAGCTGAATGGATTGGTAAGGATGCCTATTGACCATAACCCCGGAGATACTTCCGTTTATTGTCCGGTAAGTTATCAGGCTGGTATGAACCAACTGTTATGTTGTAATAGAGGATTAACTCGGGTGTGTATGGCTGAGGCGGAGCTACTTTCTTCGGCCTCCTTCACCTATTCGAAACTTCGGCTGAAGAGTTTGGCGAAGTGGGATAAGAAGGGCACTATTGGTAATGCATACGTTATCCCAAAACATAAGGATGTGACGAAATGGCGCCCTATCTGCCCATCTTTCCCAGAGTGCAACGTGCGGGCATGTAGGAAGATCTCTCGCGTTGTAAATGTGATGGTATGGGATCTCCCTAAGGGCTCGCATTTCAACATGAAATGTACTGATCTCCTGGTTGATTCTTTGAATATGGTTAATAAGAATGTCAAGAAGGGGGAGGCAGTTTTGACTGCAACATTTGATGTGAAGAAGATGTTTTGCAACCTCCCTCACTCTTCGATTATGAATGCGTTGGATTGGGTTATAGATTTCTGGCAATCGAAAGAGGCGAACGGTATTCTTCTAAAAAAACAAGGTAAGGAGGCTAAGTTGTTGAGAGGGAAGAAGGAGGAAGGATGGGATTTTGTGGGGTTTGATATAATCAAGACTTTTGTCATGTTCGATCTGGCGCACACCTCTAGCAAGGCCTGTGATTCGATTTTTCAGCAGGTGCTGGGGATCCCGATGGGAAAGCCGTCGAGTCCGGGTATTGCCTGCTTGCTTTGTGCCTTTTCCCAGTTCTCGTTTCTGGCCTCTTTGGGCAATGATAAGCTGTTAGTCTATGGAATCCGCCTGATCGATGATGTGTCGATTTTTGTTAAGTATCAAGTTGATGATGAGGCTTCCTTGAGCAAGGCGACAAACATCCTGGCCGACTTTGAAAGATGTTATAATGACAAATCTCTCGTTGGAATGTGCGAGTAAATCCGACCAATGGGATTTTCTGGGATGTATTGTAAAAAACTTTGGATGGCCGGTGGGCATTAGGTGCGCGGCTGTGGTTGGGTCGTTTATGCACCGTGTTAAAAGGTTTACCAGCCTGCCGACTGCTGAGGTGTTTTTTCTCTTCACCCTGAAGGTGGAATTGAGGTTACGTGGGTTTCCTGATGAGATCTTTAATGAGTCTCTACGAGGGTTTTCTTTGAAGTTTGGGGGCCTTTGGAGGGACTGGATCGAATTCCTGACGGGGTGGGGTCTTCTCCAAACGTGGGTTTCAAAAAAGGGGGGTGGGGGTGACGTTGGGTTCTGAGCGCTCACCTGGCTCGAGGGGTACGAGCAGGGGGCACTGAGGTCATTTATTTTTTTGGGCCTGAATGCTCCGGGCTTGATCTGTTTTGGCCCTTACCTGGTGGACCTAGTTTTTGGAGGTTTTGGTCGAAGGACCAAGTATAGGTGTAGGCGGCTTCGAACCTGTGTCTTGTCTTTTGGTGTTTTCCACTGTCGGCATTTTCGAGGTTGATGTTTTTAGCTTTAACACTGTTAAATAGCAAGACTGGCAGTCAACAGACACTCGACTTGCGTGACGCCTGACCCCTGATGATTCCGGAACCGGCTCTGGATGAAACGCGTAGGGTCCCTGCCGGTATCTCAGCTATGGTTGCCACGAGTATGGGCGTGTCGCCTACATTCGAGCTGAGTTAGATGGCTTGTGTTGTTCTGCTTTATCTTAATACCTATCATGTCGCGTTCGGGAGACTTGATGCGTCAATCTTGCTTTCTTTCTCGTTTGTGTTTGTATCATTTTTGGGTCTGTCATGTGAGTGTATAGGCTTTCTGCCGCCACGTGATTCTAAAGGATGTTCGACATGTATGGTGCTGTGACTATCTCACCAGTCTGGGGTGTGGCCGAGACCTCTCGGCCGTGGCCCAACCATGGGGTTGTTCTTTTTTTCTTTTTTTTTCTTTTTTTTGTCTAGGGCTCTTTGTTCCCCTCCCCCTCCAGGTTGCGCCTCCGCGCTGTGCGCGGTACACAGTAAATCAGTTATCATTTATTTGGTGGTCTCCTTACCACTTGGATAACCGTGGTAATTCTAGTGCTAATACGTGCAACAAAAAATAAAAATAAAAATATCGATCTCGTGTCCACACGGGTGCTACAAAATTGGGTGTGTGGCAATCATTGGCATCAGGATGAAAAGTCCTGGGTGTGTGGCATCAGGTGTGTGGCAACAGAAAAGGCTCGCGACACCAGCCAGGAAATAGCAAACTCAGGTTTTGTTATAAAAAAAAAAAAAAAAAGGAAAGTCCTTTATACCATCTGCCCGTGCGGAAGTCTTCTTAAAAAAAAAAAAAAAAAGTACGTTTTTTACCCCAGCTAATTTTTCTCCAATGGGGCTGCATGCATGCCGCAACTTTCGGGGGTAGGCTGCCGGAGCAAATTGGCTGACGGCACCAACCAAAAGGATGTCCGCGCGGGTTCGTTCTGTATGGCGTGCAGGGCATTTTCAACCCCACCAAAAAATGGCGTGGATGTGTACTGGTTGATTAATTGCCAGGACATGACTTACCTGTCGATTAAGACACCATGTTAAGAGGGGGTCGGGCTTCTACAAACTGAACACCTCCCTCCTCTCCCTCCCCAAGTTCAAAAAATTGATAAGCGAGTTCTGGCAATACTGGCAAACACAGAAGCCCCCCACGGGACAAAGAGTGTTTTGGTTTAACCAAGGAATGACTCAAATGAGGGAAAGAGCTAAAAGATTCTCTATCCAGTATGTGAGGGACCGTAAGGCTATTCTGGACAGACTCATGAGGGAACTTGAGGAATGGGATGAACAACTGATGAGCGACCCGCTACACGGTCCGTCCTTTGACGAGCTCCAAAAAGCAAGAGATAACCTCCAAGAATACCTTGACCGCCAAACGCAAGCTTGGAGGATCCAGGCTCGAGTCAAGAGGGAGCACACTGATGGCACGATGGCCAAAGCCTTCTTTCGAAAAGCAAAGGCCCGAGCAAGAGCTAATACAGTACCTAGGCTTAAACACCCTTTCGACCCAGACGCACCGGTGGCAACGAACGCCTATTCGATAGTGGACTATGCATCTAAATACTATCAAAATCTGTTCACATCGCAGACCCCAACGAAACCTCCCGATCAGGTAAATCAGGCACGAGAACAACTGTTGCATGCAATCCAGACACGCCTAACAATGACCCAAAGAACCCAACTGGACATCCCCCTATCTGAGGAAGAAGTCAAGGAGGCTCTGGACGATATGGAGGATGAGAAAACCTCGGGGGTGGACTCCTTCCCGAAGGAGTTATGGGCTAAGTTCTGGTACTTGCTTAAATCAGACCTGATGGACTACATTGGAGCGATCCAACGGGAGGGCTCGTTTGGGGATATGATGGGCCAAGGTGTCACCACTCTACTGTATAAGAAGGGGGATAAGGAAGATATCCGAAACTACAAACCCATCACCCTCCTCCCGATCCCCTATAAGCTGGTGGCAAAATCATTGACTAAAAGACTATTGCCCTTAACGAATATACTCATACACCCGGACCAATCGGGTTTCATGCCCAACCGTAACATACAAGACAATATACTGCTGGTCAATGAGACGATCAAGTATGCTCGCCAAAGAAAAATTCCGGCCACGTTGCTATTTATAGATTTCGAGAAAGCCTATGACCATGTCGACTGGGACTTCCTGGACATGTGCCTCTCAAGGATGAATTTTGGTCCTGGCTTCTGTCGCTGGATTCAGCTCCTACATAGGTCTGCCTCGACAAATGTCATGCTGAATGGTCATCTTGCAGCCCCCTTTGCCCTTCAGCGGTCGGTGCGCCAAGGGGACCCCATAGCGCCCCTGCTGTTCGTGATTGTTATGGAGGCTCTGGCCTCACTAATCCGAGCACACCCGCGGATCCAAAAGGTTCCTATCACAGAATTGCCGCAACACCAGGTCCCGATGACATCCTTGTTTGCAGATGACCTCACAGTGCTCATCCGTGCTGACGTGGATAGTCTTCGAGCATTGGCCGAGGTCATTCACCAATTCTTGCTGACCGCAGACATGAAGGTCAACTGGAATTCTAAGACCGAAGGCTGGTGGCTGCACCCGTCGGGCGAGAATCTCTCCCTGGAACCGCCGGTCTCCTGGGCTGCAAAAGAGACGGCAATCAGAATCCTAGGGGTCAAGCTAACAGCGCTTCGTCCGCCGCTGGACCATGGTGACAACTTGGTCAACCTGGCGATTGACAAGTTGCAGAAGTGGGAGAACCTGCACACATCCTTGGTGGGCCGGGCCCTGGCAATCAATAATGCAGTCCTTGCAGCAATCTGGTATAAGCTCGCTGTGTGGCCCCTGAACCCGAAACAATATGCTAGACTTAAACGAGCCCTGTCGGTCTACCTATGGAAAAATAGCACTAACTCCCAAGGAGTCCTCTACCATGTAGAATGGGACTTTCTGACGCAACCCAGGTCCAAAGGAGGGCTGGGGATTCTGGATCCGGAGAGAGAGTGTGAGGCCCTTTTGTTCAAAGTGCTGATACGTCTTCTAGTGGGTGAAGACATTCCATGGGCACCGCTCGCCTGTTTGCAGATTGCAAACTTGGCCCCGGAGTCGCCGGTGGAGGATCGGGTGCACCCCCTCCAATGGCTGACCAACGCATTCTGGTTCATTCCCGCACTGGCGCACCATCAGCGTCCACCAGACAATGCAGCGCAGGCCACTAAACAGGATATACCAAATGACCCGTTGTGGCCGACTATGCTCAAGCTGTGGAGGAACAGAGGGCCGAAGAAAAAACGCCCGCCCAGCAGGTGGCACGACATATGGCGACAACCCCTTTTTGGTAACCCCTACGTGGTGGACGCAGAAGGGAACCCCTTT